TATACCATATGATTCTACTTCCATGAGATATTTAAAATAGTCAAATTCATAGAAACAAAGTTGAACAGTGGTGGCTAGGGACTGGGAGATGGAGAAATGGGGATATGTGTTCAAAGGGTACAAACTTAAGTTAGAAGGTGAATAAGTTCTGGGTACCTAGTATACAGTGTGGACGGTAATGGATGTGTTCAATAATTAGATTGTGATTGTCATTGACAATCATTACACATATACCTAGGACAAATCATCTTGTTGTATGCCTTAAATACAGTTCTTATTTGTCAATTAAATATTTGTAAATGAAATAAATAATAAATTAAAAAACAAACCTTTATTGCTCCATTTCATTGTAGCCCAGTGTCTGACATCTGCAGCCACCCTCCTCAGAGCCACTGTCTGGACCTGGGTCAGGGTCATGCAGTGGCCTCCTTCCAGGCTTGCTGAAGGGTGATCCTTTCCAGCCAGGGAAAGCTTACCTTGACCGCCCTTCTCTTGACACTGTAGCAGCTCTCCATGTTGCTCTGGGAGGAAGCCCAGACAGGTTCAGCTGCTGTCTGAGCCTCAGTTTCCTGGTCTGTAGCTCAAGATGCTGACCTCCAAGGATCCCTCCAGCTGTGATATGCCAGCAATGTGTGACTGGAGATACAAGAGAGATCAAAGATGGGAAAGGCAGTCCTCTGCTGGCTCCTTCCATGGGAAATTGGGGGTTTTAAGAATGCAAAGCTAATATTGCAGTGTTTAAACCTAGCGGAGGTATCAACTAGTTTCTAATTACTGATCCCCAATTTAAAAGCATATGTACACTACAGACATTTTGCAAAACAGGGAATTATAATAATGAAAATTTAAACCACCCATTATCCTGTCATCCAGAGATAAAGTCTAGTAATATTTTGGTTTTAGTTAACTGCTAGCTTTGTATATGTAAATATATGGTATTTCCTTCCCCAGTCCCAGAAAATTTTCTCTATATTTGTATCTTCATTTTTCAATGAAAATGTCTTCATATGCAAACACAAGTACCACTAAATAGTCTTTACATGGTCTTTTACAACTGTTCAGTGCTCCATAACACCCTTCCCCCAACACTTCCTGTGGTATTGGGGATTGAATCCAGGGCCCTTTACCACTGAGCTACATCCCCAGCTCCCCTCTTTCCTTTTCTTTCTCCCCCTCTCACACTTCTCCCCCACCCCCCCCGCCCCTTTCTTTCTTTCAACTTTTTAAGTTGTCTAGGCTGGCCTTGAACGGTGTGCTTCCTGCCTCTGCCTCTGAGTTACAGGGGTTATAGGCCTGTGCCACCACATCTGGCTAGTCATTCTTTTAATTTGCATTTTTAGCTACAATAAATAACACTGACTTAAAAAGCGTCGTGATACACATAAATCTTCACAGTGATTTGTCTTCCTTTGGCACAAATTACTGGTTGTATAGTTATTTACTGGTCCAAAGGGTGTAAGCATTTAAAAGACTCACACATGTTACCAAATATGCATCTTAACACATCTTCCTTTCCTAACTTTCCAGGAGGTTGTAACAATTTTCCCCTTTTTACCATGTGAGTATCACACTGTCCCCATCCTACTAACTTACTATCATTAAAAAAAAAAAAATCACTTTTGACTATGTGTAGGTTAAAATTTGTTACTTAATAAAACAGCCTTGTAAAGGGAGGAAGAATAATTCAGAACTCAGATTCCAGTAATTTTTTTTGTGCGCCTACATGAATGGGCACTGTGCCAGATGCTTTTTTGTTTGTTGCTGTTGAACACCACACCCTTGGAATGTAGGTGTCATCCTTTCCTTGTTCTGTCCCATGAGGCTGAGATGTGCCTGAGGACGCACAGCTGGTCTCTGAACCATCAGGACTAGTACCCAGGGCTCTTGACTCTGGATGTGCACTGCATTCTTACTTGCCTCATCAGCCTCAAATGACCTAGAGTAATCTTGTTACATATATTCAGATCATAAGAGAGAAACGCAAAACATATCCAAAGCTTACCAAGTTTTTGAAGTTTGTGAGTAGAATGAAACATACTGGCCTCTAAGTTGGATGATCCCTCTGAAATTCTGCTTTATCTGAAGACATCCAGGGCTCCTGCTTCTTGCCTGATCTGAAGGTCATTGAACCAAAGGTGAGACTAGTAGGATGAGAAAGGGGACTGAACTGCTTGACCTCAGGTCCAAACTGTCTGCCCTTGTTTGCTAGTGAAAGCTAGACTGAGCTGGATTTGAAGGAGTATTGCTGCTTGGATGGTGAGCACCTTCTATCCAAATGCAAACCCCAGACCCTTCATGTGCATGTACTTGGTGAGCTTTGGGAGCCACGAGGCCTTATCCTTTATACTTGGTGAAGGGAAAGTGAGAAATCGAGAAATGAAGGATGGAGACCAGGCAGAGATCTTCACAAAGGTTTATTTGTCAAAGTTGACAAATAAAGGCCATCCCTCTGTGAAGTGGAGAGAGGCACCCGATTTTGGGTGTTCAGCTTTTATGGGGTAGGGGTTTGGAGTTGTAGTTGTGGCGCTGAGATAGGCTGGAGGTGCTTGCCTCAGAGCTAGGCAGTGGGGAATAGCATGGGATTGGCTTAGGTCAATGGTACCCCGGGGCTTTCCAGAGCAAAGAGGTTGTGTTATTCTGGGATTGGTTTAGGGTTATAGTACCATGGGGTAGGTCCCTAATTGGGGTGGGGGTTGTTTGGGTAAGAGGAAGTACAGGAAAGCAAAAATTATAAGATGGCAGTTAACATTTAAGATGGCTGCTCGAATGTTAAATCAATACCTTATACTTGGTCTTCTGCATACTAAACGTTGAAAACTGGCTTTTGAATCTTTAGACCCTTTAAGGGTTTTTATAGCAATTTCATGAGGGCAGTCTTTCAGTACCCCAAAACAATATAAACTATGTACATTAAACCTTAACCATGGTTCCTTATTTTTGTACTATCTGATATGCTAACAGGACAGTAAAAGCGACCTGGGGCTGTTATATTTTCCCTTTATTTAGGAAGGGGTCTGGGGTTCTTAACTCAGGAGGGACTCCTAAACATGTCCTAGGCCTAGGTTGTTGAGGATTCCGTGGGGTGTACCTGGTAATTAGCTTAACATGTGGCTGATTGTGCTGAACTTCTTCCCCAGTGCCAGTCCCCTTATTTCCTGTGTTAGGGGATACTTGAGATTTGGTCTTTGAGGAAGTTTTCTCCAGAGGTGTGCCACACAAATTCTGTTACTGCTGTTAGAATACAGTGATCTCATTTGGATATGAAACCCTGCCAGCACTTAAGATCCTACTCTTACCAAAGGCAGGCCTATAGTTAAGTATTATGTCAATGCAGTGAAACTTGTTTCTGGAGAAGGGAGCATTTTTCGTTTGGGTACTACAATTTCTGTAGGGGCACTTAACCATTGATCCACATGCCCAGCCCTTTTTAAAGAATTTTTGCTATTATTATTATTATTATTATTATTATTATTATTTTTAACTTTGAGACCATCTCATTAAATTGCTTAGGGCCTGGCTAAGTTTCTGAGGCTGGCTTTGAACTTGCTATCCTCCTGCCTCAGCCTACCAAGTCACTGAGATTGCAGGGGTGTACCACCGAGCTGGGGTAGAATAAAGTGTTTTTAAAGGCCAGCTTCTCAGTTAGATTCTAACTCTGTCCACCATCATTGTGGTCTTTGAGTTGAAGCTGGAAACCCTACAAGACTGGAAATCCTGTACCACCAGCCGAGGAGGTGAAGAGTGCTGCCTAATACTCAGGGAAACGACTTTGAGAGGAGAAGGGACAAATGAGAAGAAACCACAGAGGGCCAAGCTGGTGTAGAATTGGATTGTGGGGTGAGGGTGGGGGAAGGAAAAACTAGCAGAATGAGAAGCTCAGAATAGAAGATATAAAAGAAAGTGCCAGCTAGTGAAAATACTGCAAAAGAATGGGGGTGGGGGGACGACGGGGAACGGTTTAGAAAAATAGCAATTAGTAGAGCTAAAAATAAAGACCAATTTAGAGACAAAGCCAGATACACAAGGAGAAAAATAAAACTCGCCAGAAAGACAATTCCTTGCAAGCCAAATGTTCAAGAAAATGGGGCTAATGACACCTCCTCTTGGGCAGTTTTGTAGAAGAAATGAGAAAATAAATGAGCGTGAAGGCAGCGCTGAGCAGGTGATAGCAATGGGGAGAGGAGACTAGGGGACCTGAGTGATTCCATTGTTGAGCGCAAAAGCGCTGCCTGAAGCTGCACCCAAGTGTCCTCAAAGTTAGAGATGTGTTCGAACCCCAGGGGGTTCCTGCAGAATTCCCTAAGATCTGCCCCTGGAGTCTCAAAACCAAGGGTAAAAAGTGCTCAAGTTTGGGCGCCCGCGCAGCGCGGCCCCGGAGAGGGCGCCCACCCGCGGTAGCTCCGCTGGCTTCGCGTGGGCACCGCGGGCAAGGCCCGGTGACGTCTCGCCCTCATTTGGGGCGTGGGGAGGCACAACACCCACGGAGTGGGCGGCAGTTAGGCCGGGGCACGCAGAGACCCTGCATCCCCGGATGGAGCCCAAGGCCCCCCGGCCACGTACTTCGCTGAACTGCGAGGTCTCGGCTTCCCGGTGATCTGGGACGTGAACCCCATTTGTCAGTCATAAAGCTCGGTCCGCCCGCGGCGCCGAGCCAGTTCTCGGAGAGGGCGGGTGCCCGGGATGGATGAGGGAGCTGGGAACACGGAGGGCTGGCATCTCCGGCGAGCTCCGCCGCGCGGCCAGGGGCCCTGGATGCGCTAACCGCCTTGGCAGGGTTCCTGAGTCCCGGGCGGCGCAAGCTCCCTTCGGGAGTGCGCACACAGTCCCAGGCGCGGGGCTGTGGTCACCTGGGTGGTCCTGCCGGGTCCTGGCACCTGGGGGCGGGACCCAGGGTCGGGGCCGGCGCGGGCGGGAAAGGCGCACGGAGCGCGCCACGCGGCGCCTAGCAGAGAGGAGGGCGGCGGGCGGGGGCCGGGCGCGCCGGGGCGGCGCTGAGCGGGCTCCTCCTCCTCGCCCTCCTCCTTCTAGCCTCGCCGGGGCTCAGCCGCCGCGCGGCCGGGCTGCTCCTCCTTCCTCCCCCGGGTCCCCGCGGCGATGTTCAACCGCGCTGTGAGCCGGCTGAGCAGGAAGAGGCCGCCGTCAGGTAAGTGGCTCCCGGGGCCGGCTGTCGCGGCGCTGGAAGGGACCTCGAGCGGCGGGCCGGGACGGCGCTGCCCGCTGGGCATCCTTCCCTGCGTCCTGGGCTGGGGCGAGGCTCGGCGGTGCCGCCCCGACGGGAGCCCCGGCCGACTTGCCACTTCTCCCTGCTGCGATTCGTGCCCCCGAGGTCCCCGCTGCTGCGGGAGCGCTGAGCCTCGAGAGACGCCCCGGGGAGGAAGTTTGGCCGAAAGGGGAACAACTTCAGTTTTCTTTTTAGTGATGGTCTGGGAGAAAAAGGAGATCCAAAACGCCCCCAAACTTCGAAGGTAGTGTGGGACCCAGATACCGAAAGCAGAACGCGGGCGGGCTTCCCTTTGTGGAGTCCGTCGCCTCCGCCGTGGGCGTTGGTGGGAAGGGTGCCCGCGCACGCCCGGAGGCGGCAGGGCTGGACCTCACGCAGCCCACTCGGCAGCCGGGCCGGGGCTGGCGGTTCTGCAACAGCGCGGAACCAAAAAGTGGGGCCACGAAGGTGTTTGAATAACAGGATGGAGCAGGTACACCTGCGTGGTTCACGCCAGGAAGTCCTGACATGACAAAGTATTCACCTTGGCCATCACTCTGGATTAGTCTAAGCCACAATTTGTGGCAACTTGATGAGATAAAGAACACACGGTGGAGATGAAACCATACCCCTCATTCAATCCTTTTATTCTTTTGATTCATATCAATAGCTAGGACCCTCTGAGCGCTTACTGTGGGCCAGAGGCTATGTCCACTACCTTCTGTGGCTTCTCCTTTTACCCTTAGAGAAGCCCCATGAGAGGGGGAACTGAAGCCAGGAGTGTTAGGTAACGTGCCTCACTTCACACTTAGGTGATGGAGAATCTTCCAAACCCAGGCTTGTCTGACTCCCATGCTCAGGAGTTCACAGGTTTTCCTGCGTTGCTCATTTCCAGGTTCACTTCTGCATACTTCTGGGAGTCTGTGCGTGTTGGTCCGTTTCCTCTTTTTTACCTGACATTGTATGTAGTTACAAGATAAGACATTGGAACCAGAACGGCAGGGTTGGTATCCCACCCCCACCCCTACCAATTCATAGCTGTGCAACCACTTTGTGCAGAATAAGAAACTGCAAAATAGAAATAATGGGAGCTGCCCCTCTCCTTAAGCATGTGCCCCCGATCAAATTATGCAGATTACTGCATTTAGTATCTAGGGTGACTGTAATAAAATCAGACTTCATAGGCGGGGTGGTGGTGCACACTTGTAATCCCTGTGACTGGGGAGGCTGAGACAGGAGGATTACAAGTCCTAGGCCAGTAAGACCCTGTCTCACAATTAAAAAGGACTGGGGATGTAGCTCAGTGGTAAAGCATCCCTGGGTTAAATCCTCAGTATTAAAAAAAAAAAAAAAAATTGGACTTCAGAGGGTTATTGTAAAGATCTTACATTGTTGCCCAGCACATTCTAAGTGCTCCATTAGTGTTAGTGGTAATGTAAAGTCTTTCAGTGTTGCATGTGAGCCTAAGGATTCCCTTGTGGGTGTTGATGGTAGTCATTCCCTATTGCCAGCATAGGCCCATGGAGTAGTGATCAGAGCCTGAATTCCAAAGTTAAACTCTATTTCTAACCCAGACTATCATTCATCAACTTTGAGCTAAGTCGCTGGACCTCCCGTGTTGCAATTTCAAGGATGTGCTGTAGCCAGCTGAAACTGGCTTGCAAGAGCCAATTACTAAATATTCAGAAAATATAGGAACTGATTGCTACACCATAGGTAACTTGAAATTAGCTGCGGCGGGATATTTACATTATGAAAATAAGCAAATGCTAAAAATCAAGGCTTTTTTTTTTTTTTTTTTTTCCTCCTTGGAGAGTTGATATACCAGCATACTTCTGGGTCATTTTCCCCATCTGGAAAGTGGATTTCATAAAACTGTGGGCTTATATATTCTAAAATATGTGAAGCCCCTGGGACAATGCTGAGAACATGATAAATGTGTAATAGTTATGAGTTTCTGTCTTTTCTCTTTTCCTGCTATAAATGAGCTGCTGTGAATATCCCCGAGTGGGTTGTTCATTGATTTGGGTTGCATTTGGGTTGAAGACTCGCAGATAGAACCGTTGAATCATGGGAGATATGCGAATTCATTGTGTTTTGCATGTGGCCAGGTTGACTCCAAAAAGACTGAAGGCAGATTTAGCAACCTGGAGCAGGAACAATGAAGCCCAACTGAAGCCCATCAAAGTGTGGTTGATGATAGAAAGGTCAGCAGCTAACCATCATGGGTTGACATGGATACCTGGCCTCCAACTGCCTGATGTCCTTAGAAGTTTAGGTTTGAAGTCTTCGCCCCTCATGGGGAAGGACATGAGCCCCTCCAGTTTGGCCACCCCCCAACATCAGGAAAAGAAGGAGCCTAGTGAGAAAGCAGGAATGAGGACCCGCAGGAGGTACTGGGAAGCCAGCCAAGTGATCTGCTGGACCCTGAACTGACTTTTTTTTATACCCGGGATTGAACTCAGGAGCACTTGACCACTGAACCACATCTGCTGCCCAATTTTGTATTTTATTTAGAGACAGGGTCTCACTGAATTGCTTAGCACCTTGCTTTTTGCTGAGGCTGGCTTTGAACTCACCATCCTCCTGTCTCAGCCTCCCAAGATGCTGGGATTACAGGTATGCCCCACCATGCCCACCTGGACCCTGAACTGATTTTGGGGGGTAATTTTGAATTATTTTTCTTAAAGAGGCTCTCTGATTGTATAAGATCAGGCCCCACAAAAGTTGGATCCACCCCTGCAGAACTCCTGATTTGGACCTGGCTACAGTCCTGCCTCCCAAGCATCTTTAGTTAGACCTTTCTTGCTTTTCAGCAAAGTCTTTTTTTTTTTGCTTTACCACTGAGCCACATCCTCAGCCCTTTGTATTTTGTATTTTGAGACAGAGTTTCGCTAAGTTGCTTAGGACCTTGCTAAGTTTCTGAGGCTGCCTTTGAACTTGCCATCCTCCTTCCTCAGCCTCCTTAGTTGCTGGGATTACAGGCATGTGCCAATATGCCGGGCTCAGCAAAGTCTTATTAGACATGATGTCTTTAAGCTGAGGGTTTTGAGGTCCTAGCCCCTAATTCTAAGACCCAAAGTGGGATTCCCTTAGTCTCTTTTCAGAAGTTTCTCAAAGTATGTTCTACCAACTGGGTGGGAATGAAGGGATCTTGGTAAAAGTCAGCTTTGCAGACTTACCAGTCCAATTTTGGGGACTGGGGTGAGGCAGGGAAAGTAGACTACATTTTTAGCAAGCATCCCAGTTGACTTTTTAAGCCACTGAAATGTGAGGACCCCTCAAAGGATTCTGTCCTCTTGTCCTGCCCCTCACAAGAATTTGTATTTTTGATTACTGGGGTGTGCCCACCTGAGAAGCAAAGCTGAGGTTACCCTGATTTGTGTCAGAGTAATTCCCACCCTGCCAGGCAGGCCACCCAGGCCTGTTATACATTATCCCATTAAACCCTTGGGAACAGTTTGAGATTTATTGCTGGGCTTATGTTTTTATTTAAAGATGACAGTATTTGTAACAATTTAATGTCTTTGTTTTAGCAACTCAGCAGTGAAGCATCTTGGCAGCTGGGGAACTTTCCCTGGAGAACCATACTGGCTGGGCCTGGGGGTTCAAGGAGATCTGGCCTGCTGGTACAGCAAGGTCAGGATGAGGGTGATATTTTGTCCAGGTGAGGTCAGTGCAGGAGCCAGCTGACTCTGTGGAACCCGCTCTGACCCCCCCACTGAGAGCAGCCTGCAGACCCATGAGCCTGAGGCGCTAATGGTGCTTTATTGGCTACTTTGATCTGTGTTTGATCTTATGTGTCCTTCTCTCACTGGTAGAAAACTTGGACACCTAGGCAGGTGCCTGGCTTGGCCATTCTCTAGTGCTTCCTAGGTGAACAAACCCTCCTCTCTCCAGGCTGAGTAATCCCTTTGGCCCCCCGACACTGGGCTTTGGGGACTTGCTGTTTGAACTGTGCTAAATATACTCTCATGAGTGTCTTGTGCTTCCCCCAGATAGCTGTCCACTGCAGCAGCTCTGGGGTGGCAGTGGGAGCAGGGGCCCAGGCAGGCAGCAGCAGCAGCCCCTTGATAAGAGCTGTCAGGAGGTGTCTGCTAGAGCGGAACAGTCCCCTGTAGACTTTCAGGGACAAATTTCCCTCTCGGGCCAGTTTCCATCTCTGGAGGGCCTGCTAAGTGCTTAGGAAACCTTGTTGACCCTAGGCCTGGTGCCTGGGGACCCTCATTCTGGCTAGCCTTCCCTCCCAGCCCTGTTTTCCCCAGTCCCCACTCTGTCCCTGGGGGGACTGGACAGTTCTACTTCTGTGCCTTTGTCACCCAAAGATGTCCCCTGTCCTGTCCCCAAACCTGGGTCTCCCTGCTCTAGAACCTGTCACTTCCCTGTCCTCTGTACCTGACGGTGCAGGAACTCCTGCAGAGCTGCAGAGGTCACTACGGGGCCGGGAGTTTCCAGAGCCACCCCTTTCAGAAGGGCAGACCAGGACACTCGACTCAAGTCTGGGCACATTCAGTCGTTCAGTCACCATGTTAAAATATACTTAGAGAATGAATATGGGGATGATCATCTTCTCCCTCCCTCCCCTTCCATCTTGGAACTCCTGGCCACATCTTCTGAATTCACAGTAAGATCCATGAGTGAGAGGATGCTGCCTTTCCTTTCTGGCACTTCCTGGGCTCTCCTGGCTCTCCAGCCAGCCAACCTGGGCGGAAACCCAGCTCCTCCACTTCCTTGCTTGCTTCTTTGTATCAAGTTATTTCACCTCCTGGTGCCTCAGTTTCTTTTTCTGTAAAATGGGGCCAATGATGGGGCCAACCTCCAGGTAGTATGCAGTTTGGAGGATTACATACAGGAAATGCTTAGGGAACGTCCGCTGTTTTTATTAGCTGCCATCTTCTGCTCCGTACCTAGCTTTGCTCAATCCTCAGGAAATATTGATCGTT